CCGGCGGCTGGAAGAAGTCCGGCCGGGCGGGGGTCAGCTCGCGGGTCGAGGGGGGCAGGCTGGGGGTGGGCAGGTCGGTGTCGCCCCCCGAGGAGGCGGTCTCCAGGTGGCTGCCCCCGCACAGGAGGTCCAGCTGGGACACCGAGGTGGCCTGGTCCCGGCGCGCCGCCTCCAGCGGCCCCGGCAGCGGCAGCTTGCGGTGCTGAGCCCGCGGCTTCAGGCAGCGCCGCCTGCGGGGACACGGGGGCTCGTGGGGAAGGGGGTCCCCCTGCTCCCCGCTCCCTCGCCTGCTGGAAGGAGCTCGAGGAGGAGGCTATAGGGCATCTAGGCGTGCTGGGGAGTGGTGTGTCACCCCCTAAGTCCAGTTACAGGCACCCAGGGGTGCTGGGAGTGGTGTGTCACCCCTCAAATCCAGTTACAGGGCACCCAGGGGTGCTGGGGAGTGGTGTGTCCCCCCTCCCAAGCCAGCTGTAGCACACCTAGGGGTTCCAGAGATTGGTGTCTGTCTCCCAAACCCAGCTAAAGAGCACCCAGAGGTGCCACAGGCTGGTGGTGCCTCCTCCCCATAGCCAACTATAGGGCATTTTGGGGTTCCAAGGGGTGGTGACTCCCCCAGAATGGCTACAGGGCACTCAAGGGTGCCTTGGGGTGGTGCCCCCCTTCCCAAAGGCAGATATAGGGCACCCAGGGGTACCAGGAGGATGCTGCCCCCTCCCCATAACCAGTTATAGGGTGCAGGAAATGGTCCCCCCCAGCTATGGGGCACCCATGGGTTACAGGTGGGTGCTGACCCCCATTCCCACGTGGAATGTCGGGTTCTGTTTCCCCCCCCCCCCCCCCGCCCCCGCCATGGTCAGGACACTGACCTGCAGTAGTAGATGAGGAGGCAGAGGAGGATGAGGACGAGCAGGGCCAGGGCACCCAGGATGGTGAGGAGGAAGATGGTGTGGTAGGTGGTGATGTCTGTCACACCCGCTGCCATCGCCACCAGACCTGGGGACAGCAGGGTCAGAGGAGGAGCCCCCCCTGAGAGTACCCTGGGGGGCTGCCCTGGCACAGAGGGGCAAACAGCACCCCAGGGAGCTGCAATGTCCCCCCAGCCCAGACAGCCCTGGGGACAATGGGACTGGGGGCACCAGGAGCACCCCAGGGTGGTCTCAGCCCCTCAGGCAGCCCTGGGACAGGGGGGTCAGAGGGTGCTGCCACCCCCTCCCCAGCCAGCCTGTCCCCAGAGCCAAGGGACACCAGCTGGGAGGGCACTCACAGGTGTCACCTTACCCGTGCTGGGGGAGGGCAGAGCTGCTGCCCAGTATCCCAGCTGGGAGGAGACGAACGTCCAGTACAGCTGCCGGCCTTCCTTCCGGATCAGCCCCGTCCCGTTCCGGACCCACAGCCCTGCGGGGACACAGCGGGCTGAGACCCCTCACCTCATCACCCCCAGCAGGAGCCGAGTCCCCTCTGCCACCCCCAACAGGAGCTGTGTCCTCTCTGTCCCCCCCAGCAGGAGCTGTGTCCCCTGTGCCACCCCAGCCAGCACTCACCGCTCTTGGGGTCAAACCTCCAGGCTGGCACACTGGTGGCAACCACGGCCGCGGCGTCGGGGGCCAGAGGGACGGACAGATGGACGGGGCCGGCCAGCGGCACCTCGGTCCCGTTGCCGGTGAACAGGTGGACGCTGACAGCCGCCACCGGCGCCAGCTCCAGCCACGTGCCATTGGCTGCGGGGACAAGTACGGGGACATCCCTAAGTGGGGCCACACAGGGTGCGCCCCCCACCCCCCAATCCGCGGTGTCCCCCGTACCGCTGCCGTCCTGCTCGGCCCCGAGGAAGGCGGGGAAGGCGCGGGCCAGGCTGGGGCCGGAGGCGGCGGTGAGGGACGCGGCGAGCTGGCTGTAAGTGGAGCTGCGGGGCAGGCGCGCTGCCCGCCGGGGGAACTGTGCCCACGGCTGCCCACGGCCACCTGCGGGGACACGGAGGGTGGCAGCACACGGGGGGCTGGTGGTGTCACCCACCGCCATCCCCATGGTTCGGCCGGGGGGCACAGGGTGGGTGGTGTCACCCAGGGCCACCCCCGTGTCTCACCTGGGGATCCCAGGAGGATCTGGACCAGGTCCTCGTAGAGGATAAGCGTGGCCGGGCGCTCTGGGAGCAGGTAGAGGCTGATGGAGGCGTAGACTGCAAGGGGAAGAGGGGGTGATGGGGGACCCCTAAATATCAACACCTGGACCCCAAAAAGACACACACACTCCTCCCAGGGTTGGGGGGACTGATGGGGAGAGGGGGGAGATGGGGTCTGAGGAGGGGGTGGGGAAGGGGGACACAGCAAGGGGTGAGGTGCATTTGGAGCAGGGACAGGAGGAATGGGGGGGGCAGGCAGTGGGCAGGGTGGGGGCACCCCCTCCACAACCCCATCCATGCACCCTCCATCCCTGTCCCTGTATTCCTTCAACCTAGTACCCCCTATCCCCCATCGCCATCCTGTACCCCACAATCCCTGTACCCCCATTCCCACCTCCCCAGTTGGGTGCTCCCATGTGTGCCACCCCCCCAAGGTGACCCCTCCCACTGATGCCACCCCCAGTCTCCTCTGCCCTGGGGAAAAGTGTATCCCAGGGGGCACCCCCAACTTCCCCTGCCCTGGGATGGGATGGGATCCAGGGGATGGGATCCAGGGGATGGGATGGGATCCATGGGATGCCATGGGGGGACTTGGGGGCCACCAGGACACCGTTGTCCCCTCCCAAAGAGGCTTGACCCCTTCCAAACACCCTTCTATAAGGGACCCCTACACTGAAACCTATTAGGGGTCCCCTGTAAGGAAGGGACTGAGGTCCCAGTGAGGGACTAAGGACCCCACACCAGGGCTCAGAGCCCCCAGTTAGGAATTCAGGACCTTCAATCAGACCCAGAACGCTCAGGAAGGGGTTGGGGATCCCCCATCATAGCTCAAATCCCCTCAGGAAGGGATTGTGCCCCCCATGACAGACTCAGAGACCCCAGTAAGGGATTGGGGACCCCCAGCCAGAGCTGCCCAGGAAGGCTGGCGGTCCCGGTGACTCACGTGGCAGTTTGGTGACACGCCAGGGGACAGAGGCGGTGACGTATCCGCGGCGTGCGGCGGTGACGAGCAGCCAGGAGCCCAGGCGGTAGGGCACGGGCAGGACGGCGGTGCCCGAGTGGTCCGTGCTCCCCGCGGCCAGCGCGCTGCGGGCGCCGAACACGTCCAGGGCCGCCTGCGGCAGCGGGGCCAGCGTGCCGCTCTCGAACACCTGCACCCGCAGCAGCACCTCTGTGGGGACACGGCGGGGACACGGCGTGGGCACAGGGGACAGGGTGGGGGGAGTCACAGCCATTAACCCAGCGGGCACGGCCACCATGCCAGCAGGTGGTGGGACACAAACCGGGGGTCACAGACACCATCCCAGGGGACACGACCACCATCCCAGGGGGTCACGGCCACCATCCCAGGGGGTCACAGCCACCATCCCACGGGGTCACGGCCACCATCCCAGGGAGTCACGGCCACCATCCCAAGGGGGCACAGCCACCATCCCAAGGGGGCACAGACACTGTCCCAGGGGGCATGACCACCATCCTGATGGATGATGGGCACCACACCAACAGGTGGTGGGACCTGTCTTGCTGGGTCATGGCCACCATCCCCATCACAGGGGGCACAGCCAACAGCACAGGGGGTCCAGCCACCATTTCAGCAGGTGGTGGAACACACCCTGCCAGGTCATGGCCACCATCCCAGTGGTCTCATGGCCACCATCCCACCGGGGATGGTCACCATCACAGCCACCATCCTGGTGGGTGATGGTCACCATCCCAGCAGGTGGTGGGACCCATCCCAGTGCCCACCATGCCCAGCAGGTCACAGCCACCATCCAGGTGGGGCACAGGCACCACCCTGGCAGGTCACAGGTGCTCCCCAGTAGGCAGCAGGCACCGTCCCAAGGGGGTGTGAGCATCACTGCTGTGCCCACCCTGTGCCCCCCTGAGGGGGCTCGTGGCCCCAGGGTGCCGTGCCCACCCGGCTGGGTGCACCCAGTCACATCACTCTCAACCCCCCACCAAAGGCCACCCCCAGGTGCCTCTCACTCCTGTCCCAAGGTCAGGAGGTCTCGAACTCAGCAGGCCCCACAGCAGCAGGGGGAGGGATCCTCCCGGCAAGTCCCCGCTGCAGGGTCCGGCTCGAGGGAGGGGTGGGACCCTAAACCCCTGAGTGCCCCGGCCCCCCCCCGAGCCAGCGCCATCCTGCGCATGATCCGCAGCCCTTGGCAGCGGTCCCGGCTCCGGCGCCGTCACCCAGGCAACGACCTCCTTCATCCCGCGCCCCGGGGCTGCCGCCGGGCCCCCCGCAGC